ATCTAGGGTTATCAATATGGCGTCCAATAGAAATCCATAAAAATTGATCTACGGCACGTGATCTGAGAATTTTTTTCAGGGTGCTAGCACTTTGCACCACCAACTCTATTTACACATTAATGGGCCTGACCTACAAATAGAAACATATATAAAATTTTTAAAGCTCATTTTGGATCTTATTACAGTATTATATAATTAGCCTTAATAATTTAGGGCAAACTTTTTTTATTAAAATGTATATTTATTTAAAAATCAAATAAAAAAAATTTTTTGAAAATATGTTAAAATTAGGTACCGTATTTGGGCGTAACAGCGGGCCGGGCGTTAATTTGAATCACGGCTCGAATTTAGGCCAAATTTCAAATTTACACCCCTGCGCGTTATTTCGCGCAAATACGGTACACTAGTTAAATTAAAGATCACGCGTACGTCTGAATAAATTTTCTTTTTTAACAAAATCAACTTATAATATCGTATTTTACTGTACAAGAGTTGATAATTGTCCTTGAAACGGTTTAAAAAATTGACCATCATTCTTTTGCTTGCCTGAAGTGAACAGCATTTTATCCAATTTTTTAACGTTTGTCTACTTCATTTTGCAAAAAAAAAAGCGATACCTTGATGATTTGGATGATGTACTAAGAATAATACTAAGAATAAATATTAAATATTGCAATAAAAAATCATTAAAAAGACTCAGTATTTATAAAAATCTAATCACTCTTCCCGATGTAGCGAATTATCGATCATATTTTTTTGATTAATCCTATGATTGATTTTTCGTTCGGTCTTCTTTTTTTTTATTCACTTTTTTTGTAATATAATAGTGGTAATGTTTTGAATTGAGTTTAATGATTTGCTATATTCGAATTTTTGTTATAATTAATAATATTGATAAAAAAAAAAATATCCAGCGGTTAATAATAAAGTAATTAGCCATAGTGCGATCGATCATCCTAGTAATGTTAAAAATGCAACTTACTACGAATTGAATGATGTTAAGATCTTCAACGGTTTAAAGTTAAAAAGGTAACTGCAATTCTTAAAACGTGGTTTTAATTTTTAAAACATAGGTTTGTTAATCAAAATAATTTCGATTTGAAAGAACATCAAACACTCACAATACAAAGAAAATGGAGAACTCTAACAGATGCTATGACATTTTTCATTAATGAAACTTGTTTGAACAGTGCGTATCATTATTTTAACTAAATATTGCATAGAATTAACTCTTCAAGCATGTGAAATTTATTATTTAACTGGCCTGGATACATAAATCATTAGACATGTTCAACTATTCCTTTCTTGCATAAAGGAAATTTTCACAACTCCTAGACTTACTGAACTAAGCTGAAACTAATGCATCTGATCGATTATTTATTTTTTAGTTTCAGATCGATTATTTATTTTTATTTTCAGCTCTAGTCGAGTTTCAGCTGACGTTGAACCCAACTTTTTTGTACTAGTAGGATTATTTAAACCACATGGTTAATATACTGTATGCACACTAAAATTTTGATTGATTCTTCGCTAGTGAATAGTTGAAATTTTGCTTTTTTGTGTATTACAGCATTTTTATCTTTCACCTGAAATACTGTATTGAATAATTCGGATTAAAATTTTGCTATGAGTATTACAGTATTAAAGGTTGAAACTATGGTATTGGAGACGTGCGCATATAACTGATCAATTCAAAAAAAAAAAAATCTTGTTTTTTAATTAATTGGGTTCTCTATCTAATTCTATGGTTGTGCAAATAAACGATAACCAATTAATAATATCATTCTAATTCATGTTAATTTATTGCTACTGTATGTATCATTGAAATTTTACAAGGATTCTAGAATGGTGTCGTAAAAAAATAACGGAAATTGATAATTTTTTATTGTTCACCCAATCGAATAGTTTTGTGTTATTAACTATTACACTACTATTTAAATTCATTTTAATAACCTATATTTACAAACTCAATTTTTTTAAGTCTTTCAGAACGCTTGTCCTCGGATTACTGGATTATGAATTTTTCAGTGACATTACATAGTTGCCGACATAAGTTAGTTAAATACAACACCTTGTAATGAATTTTATCGCAATACATTTTGAGTTTCTTAGCAAGAAAAGGAATAAAAAAAATATAAAAACCCCTAGTAAACATATTTATAATATTCATACAAAAGAAATGATGAATAAACCCAACACACAAAGCAAACTAAGTAACCAAATAAAACTCCTAAAGGCTGCCAAATCGTACCAATAAAGAGGGAGATAAATCTATAAAAAATAAAAAATAAATAAATAAATAAAATTTAGTAATCTCAAATCACATTTTTCATAGAACAATTATTCGTAAGTACATACCACTCTAAAGATTACAAAAGCTATGCAAAAGAAATCTGCTGCTATTCGAACTGGCTTATGTTTACTACTATCATCATTTAAATTACTTAATTGTGAGAACGCGTATGTGAATACTGCAATACTAAAGAAACATAATCCTTCAAATGTGTTATTTGATGCTGCAACTGCTCTTTGTCCCCACTTGGACTAAATTATGTTGAAGAAAATAATTTTTTAATAAAAAGAAAAAAAAAACATTACAATTAAAAAAGAAATTTTACTCACCAAACTTGAATATTGCTCTCTTGGGTGTGAATTATCGTAGCCTTCTTCATGCTTAGATTGGGCAATTCTAATTGGTACCAATGAAACAAACCATAGTAAAAATGTTGTAAAAATTGTTGCAAATAGAATTGTTAAATCTGAATTTGGATATGCCATATTATTGTTAATAACGATGAATTTGAATGTTTTTAAAATTTAAATGTCAAATTATGATGCTTTTTATATGTTATTTTTATTACCATAAATGGCTCAAAAACCATACGTAGATGTGATGTGATGTATGAATATATACCGATACAGTATAATACGTATTAAATGTCAAACACTTTAACTGTTAATTACGTAATCTTGTGACAAAAAATGCAGTGGCAAGTTGGAGCACCAATTAAAATTCAAAACTTTATATAATTATCCAACAGAGGATTTCTATTTGTACCTGGGGATATGACACCCGGTATAAGAAAAAATCGTTAATATCAAATTTTTTTAAGAAAGCCGACTTAGTGACCTTAGGGTAAAAATGCTCAGCACTTAATTTTACAAACCTGCTAACTTAATAGGGTATCGTACTCTATGGTAAATTTAGAAAATTTAATCGAAAATTCTGTTATTTCCCTTTATAAACTTTAGCTATAGTATAAGTTGTAATTTTCGAAATGTTTTTCTCAGAATACAAGTCGGAAAAATTAATATCAAATATTCTATAATCAAACTTTTACAAAAAATTTGACCAAGACTATCACTATTCACATTTTTTTAATAATGCAATTAGAATTTGAAAATTTTTATTATCGTTATCAAATTAAAATTTAATCACTATTAATGTGATTGGTAAGTTGCTTTAGTTTCAAATTTTTACACATACTATGTTTCCCCAACGAGACAGGTTATAGATTTAACTTCAAAAACCATCCAGTTAGAAAGCATTGAAGAATTTATAAAATTCACTCATCATCAATTATATAGATGGGTTGAATCTTTGAAATGATAAATGTAACGGCTCCACTATCAATGGTGACCGTGGGATTCATATTGATGCTAAATAAAATGTAAATTATATGTTATATATATATATATATTTTTTTTTTAAAAAAAAAAAACAATAAAAGAGACAAATTTTGTGGGTTTATCACTTACTCTTCCTTGAGGTTAAGTTGGATGACGAAAGGACCAGAAGTATAAGTGCTTTTGATAATAATATAACCAGGATGGTGTGGCTGAGACAATGATCCGGATATTGTTAAGAGCTTTCGGGATCGCTGAAATCTCAATTTAATATTTTTTTTGTTGCGTATACCGGGAACTTGAATTACAATAATATAGTTATCGCTTCGAAATAAAATAGAATCATTAATAAAAATAAATATATGAAAATTAATTACTGTGTTAAATAGTTACCTGTTTTCATAAAAACAATATTTAGAAACAATTAATAATTCGTCCGAAACTTGGCAAGCCTTTTGGTTCAATGTTACTTGCGAATTTTTTTCTGAAACTTGGCAGGCCTTTTGGTTCAATGTTACTTGCGAAGTTTCTTTTTGACTTGAGATCTGATTCACCTGATTATCAATTTCATGTAAAATTATTGGTTTTTTATCAATTTCACATAAGATGATTGGTTTTTTATCGATTTCGGTTAAGTTGCGACGTTTCCTGTCCGGCATTTCCTAAAATAAATGTTATGCAGAATCATTAGTCATTAGTTCGTATATAACGACAAAAATTAATTTTAAAAATAATTAGTTTCGGAATTCTACTTAACCTGCGCACCATAATTGACATAAACGTCATTTTCATCCTTTGAACGAGAAAATTGAATAGTAGTGCCTTTCGGCCCATCGATTAATGCATTTTTCATTCTATCCTAAAAGATTAAAGCTTCTTGTTCAGTATCAAAATGGGCATGTCCGAATCTAATAAAAAAGCATCAAAAATATATTCTTAATCTAATTAAAATTTAAAATCCGCAGAGTTTGATATCTTACTTCGCCTCCGGTTTTTTTAAAAAATGAAAAGTTAGATTTTGTTCGATAACGACCGAAATTGATTTAAAAATTGGGTACAATTCTTCGACTGTTATTCCGTACAGATTGGTTTTTTTTTCACCAAAAAAAACCGACAATTCCGTCGCACAACAGTAAGCTCTTGATCTTTTAGGGTTTGCTAAATAAAAAAAATTATTTATTAGAAAAGTGCAAAAATTATAATAAAGGAAAAAATGAAAAATATAAAAAAAAAATGAAAAGAAATGAAAAATATAAAAAAATAAAAAATAAAAAAAAAATTAAAAAATAAAAAAAAATAAAAAAAACACTGCGCCGATTGGTGGGTGACGAAAAAAAAACACTACGCGGGTTGGTGGGTGCGTGTGTTCACTACTCCGAGAAGTGTGTATAACGAAAAAACACTACGCAAGTTGGGGGTGCGTGTGGTATATAACGAAAAAAAAAAAGAACCACTACGCGAGTTGGGGTGCATGTGTTCACTACTCCGAGAAGTGTGTATAACGAAAAAAACACTACGCGGATTGGTGGGTGCGTGTGGTGTATAACGAAAAAAAAAAAAAAAGAAACACTATGCGAGTTGGGGGTGCGTGTGATAACGAAAAAAAAACACTACGCGAGTTGGGGGTGCATGTGTACACTACTCCAAGAAGTATGTATAACAAAAAAACACTACGCGAGTTGGTGGGGTGCGTGTGGTGTATAACGAAAAAAAAAAAAGAAAAACTACGCGGCGTAACATAGCGGGCTTTACTCGATTAGATGATCGACACAGTATGTTACACAATATGTTCCACATAGTGGCGTAACGTT